ATTATCTGTGTTTGTACGTTGGGTTTTTACGATAATTAAATTTTTAAGTAAGTTATGAGCATATAATATACAGTACATTAAAAATACTCATAACTCACWTAAAAATTGAAATATCGTAAAAAACCAACGTACAAACACAGATAATGTTCTTATACCATCAAGTTTCATAACAGGTCGATCCACTGTAATTTTTAAACTAAAGGTGCTACAAGTGTTCTGCTGAGTGTAAATTTGCTATATTATTCACTGGTAAGACGGAGACAAAAAATACCACTGTTACGAATACTCTAAATGAAATTGTATTTAATATTGTGAATACGATATAGGCCCTCGCCCCTCACACAAACATGGAGCCTATTATTTATCTTACATAATATATCGTTTATTGCTTAATAATTTTTATCGTGTACTTTTTTGAGTTTCCACGATTTATTTTAATTGCATAATTTTCATTAAGTATTAATAATTAAATTTTTAATTTAGCTAGTTAATCGTTGTATTTCCAATGAATTTTCAATATAATATAATATAGCATTACATTTATTTTTTTATGAATTAGTAGGTACGTGGAATTTTAAAAATTATCTGCAACTAATATGTTATACAATATACATACATATTTATTGGTTAACTGATCTCTGTGAAAATTGTTTTTCGAGTATGATGGYTTATCATTGCTTTCAAATTTAAAACACTCTTGTCTTGAACCGAAGTGATTGTCCGACAACGGATCTCCCAGGTTGTTTAATACCGACTTTTTTTATTTTGAGAACTCTTGTCTAAATAATTTTATAATAATTTTATTGTAGACAGAATTCTCAAGATAATCTGTTTTTAGTGATTTTATCGTCATTTTAATATCGTTAATTTTCATTAAAAACTTATGTAACATATTATTTGTTAAATCATAATGGTTTTATTAATCAATTAATTTTAATTAGTTATTTTTTCAAAGTGTTTATACCTATCTCGCGCACCACAGTTTATGATGAGATTGTTTTAACAATATGGTATGCTTATAGCTTGMTTTTATTTTATCTTAATGTTAGTTTATTTTTAATTATTTTGTGAGTAAAATGTGATTTTCATTTTAAATAAAGCATTTGTAATATACAAGGAACTAGCAAAGCGAATTCAACTATTTTCCGTTTCAAAGTCTTGCATTTTTATTTATCAAAATATGCGGTAGTTATAAATTGCAGATGTTATATACTTATATCGCACGATTGAATTGTAGGTACATGTAAATATTAATTATATTTTCTTCAAGGGTATTAATAATTCTGAAATTCATTAGTAAAATGTTTACTAAAAACCATTCTTGTATAGCGGTCGATTGTTCTTAATCCACCCCTCATAAAGATAAAAGTATCATTTCCAACCCTTCTCCTGTGTGTTTTTTTTTTTTTTAATTTTTAATACAAGCAATAAGTAAGACACAGACTACCTATAATAATATTGTTATTTTTATATGCTTTTATAATAATTATGATAGTATATTTACGTCATGACACAGTGGGCGGCGGTGATGACGAATCGGTCAGCAATCAGTGCTCCGCCGCAGAAGAACACCCCGTCCAGAGCAATAGCCACTTGCCAGGTGTGTTCGCCGATGTACGCCTCGTCACTTCCAATGATCCTTCGGTTATCGCCGTCCATGAAATCTTCGCGTTGTACGGTATGCAGTCGTTCCCTGGCTGACCCAAGGTGACCTGCAGACAGACCCATCCGCAACGGTTGTAATACGTCGTGCACGCCACCACGGATCGCAGAGCGACGTTTGAGCCGCTGCCGTTGAATCATCGAGTGGCCGTCATTTTTCCCGCCCCTGTCGCCACTGCCACCACTTCCACCACAACGTCCGGATTCTAACGACGGTGTCAAGTGAGGTGACTGTTCATTGAAGTTGTCGTCGTTCATTTGCCGAATGGACGATAGACCGCAATCGGGTGATTCTGAAACCAAAGAACGTCGCCGACGTCTTTAAGTTTCCGTGATGGTATTATAATATACTACAGTCTTGTAAGATAAGCCATAATAAGATCGGTAGTCGGCACATTGGTTTATCAATGCRTTCGCTACCTGTACTGAGAAGAATGTTCAATTCATGCTTGGTGCCTCTTTCATCTACATTTCGAGCGATCAGTCAAATTGTCGGTATATTATTATTATGATACAATTTAAATGTTCTTTATAGCTAAAAACTTACAGTAATACAAAGTTAACGAGGTCCGTAAACTAGCGACGACYAAAAATCTAAAAGTATAATTATATAATATACATGATACACTTTATATCATATATTACACGATAAAATAATATTATTGAGCAAAATATAGCACGTTATTATATTTTGTACTGGCCGCTTCAATAAGACGAATCAAGTGAATATATTATATTATAGCGAGTCATGTACGAAGATCAATATGAGAAACCATGGCCGGCCGACGCCTAGCATTACTAAACGATGGGATGGAAAGCCGAGCTAATAAATTAAGGGCAATTCACCCCAATTTAAACAAAAATGAAATATTGGGGCGAGTTCTCTGGCAGGATAGATTCGAATCATCCACGGTGGAGCCCATTAATTGAAGGTATCTTTTCGACCTCTTTCACGATGGCTTATCCAACTATTCAATTTATTAAATTGATAAAAAAAAGTTAGTTGAAGACTCCGAC